CGAAACGTCAGGCGAATAAACATATTGTCCCAGCGATCGAGTCTTCTTCTCGGAACTTAAATTGTTTGTGCACCTTATTCGTCTTCTGCCTCATGAGTTCACCATTGCTAGCATTGATACGACGCCGCTGCTCACCTGCAGTCGTCGAAAATGAGGACACCTCAAAGTCTGTCCAATTACCGTTCTTCAAGACATGGAGAGTTTTCATGAACGTTCGATATTTGGTCTCCGTCCCTGGAGGAGAGTGTAGGTCAACGTTTTCTTATTGGCAACGGTGGGTCATGAGGCGTAGGGAGGTTCCGTCTGCGACATCATCGAGACCGGTTAGTGCAGCCGTACCAAGCACATTCCGGACCCTTACCTGGACTTCAATTTTCTATGCTGTATTAGTGATCCGTTTCCTGTCTTTTTAAGCCGCACCTAAAACTTCCCTATTTCTCCTATTTTTTTTGTAGTTGATGCTGGTACTCCCACAGCCGATGGCACCTCGGACGACGCCAACAAAGCTTCCATTCTACTGGCGAAACTAGACTCAGCCAAGGAAGTGTAAGTTCGTGAGAGTAACCCTTTAAACATTTTTTTATCTGAGCAGAAAAATCAATTAACAAGATAGCAGACTGATTAACCTGATTAATCTTCCTCCTGTTTCTGTCCAGTACTTGACAAATTTTGAGGGAGAGAGAGCAAACGAAAGTAGCCCTAATCCCCCCCCCCCTTATGTGAACACTCCTTGTGCCAATAATTGCTGGCGTGGGTTCGAATCCCACCGAGGCCGACAATTGGCTCCAATGAATTGAGGGTATCTTATCGACAAGTAGTAAGCTGACGTAACCCGAATAGCTATTTCTTTGTTTTCACATTAAACGTCCCTCTGTTAGATAGGTTAAGGAAAATGAGCATTTTTGCTGATGGCCGTTGGTTTGCATCCCCTGAAAATTTGCCTCAAACCTAGGCTCCTGGAATAAGCATCACTCTGACATCCTTTCGCCCTTTTCTGGGTATTCCGAATGAGAAGTATCTGCGCAATAGACCTCCATAGTGGACACATGTTTTATGCTTCGCCTTAGACTGTCTACAAGAGGTCCGAAACTGATGATGTTAGCCTAACACGTGATGTGCCCCCTGCGGGCAAATACTGTGTTCTCTCCATCTGAACGTTTTTTCTCTCATTTGGTTCTAGTGTAAAGTGTCTTGAGTCCCAGTTGCAGTCTCTGGCTCTGCAACAGCTAGCCGCCAACAGTTCCGTCCTCTTCTCATCGCCACAACGGAGTCACCTTTTGAATTCATACGACCAATC